CGAAACCCTAAACCCTCAACATTACGAGGAACCCGAAACCCTAAACCCAAAACCCAAAACCCAAAACCCAAAACCCCGAAACCCTAAACCAAGCCTGCAAGACCTCGTCATCGCTCGCGGAGGCAAGCTCGGGACCAGCTCTTACGACTTCCTGGCCGCTGCCCATGTCCTGGGCTGCTGTTCAGGGACTTAGGGTTTAGGGTTTAGGGTTTAGGGTTTAGGGTGGGTTTAAGGTTTAGGGCTTATAGGGTTTAGGGCTTAGGGTTAAGGGTTTTAAGGTTTAAGGTTTAGGGCTTATAGGGTTTAGTGTTCAGGGACTTAGGGTTTAGGGTTTTAGGGTTTAGGGTTTAAGGTTTAGGGTTTAGGGTTTTAGGGTTTAAGGTTTAGGGCTCATAGGGTTTAGTGTTTAGGGTTTAGGGCTTATAGGGTTTAGTGGTTAGGGTTCAGGGCTTTAGGGTTTAGGGTTTAGGGAACATAAGTTATCATCATAGGGATCTACAGCAAATGATGCGGATTACCCTGTCATTCCCGTTATGGTAACGTAAATCCTAAACCCTAAACCCTAAACCCCAAACCCTAAACCCTGAACAAGAGCCCAGTGTCAGCAAGCCCGAACATGGAGCTTCGTCCGGCGACGAATTCCTGCACATGGCATCTGCTGCATCGTTTCGCTTTGCCGGCCTCGATTTTGGCCTGCTCTAGATACCATGGGCCATAGTCGTCCAGCAAGATGGAGCCGAAAATCGCACAGATCAGGACGTAGAGCCTCGCCGCTGCTGCAATGAAGAGCCGGACCTCCTGGCCACGTGCAGCCGGCTCCAGAGGAAAGAACTGCTTGACCAGGGGAACTGGCCCAAGGGCTCCCTGGATCGTCGCCCTGGGCATCGCCGACAAGAAGCAGAACATCGCATCGGGCCATTCAGTTGCTTGGAAAGACTTCTGGCAGACTTCATCCGCACGCTCGCAGGTGCGCCACTTGAGCTTCACCACCAGCATGGTCGACAACCACACCCCTGCGAAGCGGAATGCTTGCCCAACCAGCATCAGGGGAAGGACATTGAGGATCTGCAGAAACACAGAGACATCGATGCGACTACCGAGCATGCTGAACAAAACAAGCTGCCCAAAAGTCCACACGCCGCCGACAATGACGAGCACGCTGTCCAGCACCCCCTTCTCTCCATCGACCTGGTGTGTTTCACAGGCATAGGCGAAGGAGGAGCCTATGACAATGACGAGAAGCTCTGGCTGAAAGATCTCCCCATCACCGAAGGCCGATGGTAGGAGGTTCGCGAACATGGGGACAAGTTTGGCCACCTTCATTGAGCCAAGGCCGAATCCAAGCAGAGCAACCGACAAGATCATCAGGTATGACTCCACGTCAGTTTGCCTGAAAAGCTTCTTCGGAGCAACATAGGACGGCAGCCACGATGACCATGAGCCGTATGCTTCGTAGATTTGTCGGGAGAACTCACGCCACCCATTGCTATCTGCCCAGGAACTAAGCCATGAGTCGCTCCTTCGGCCCTTACTGATGAAGAGCCCGGCACCATATCCTGAGCTCTTCCCCAAGGAGCTCAACTTAAGCCTCCCTGGTAGAGATCCACCTCACCCAAGGTGCTGAGAAACTCGCTTCAAGTTGTAGTAGCAGGGATCTAAGCTATAGAGAATCATTAACATGCCCTTCTCATAGTGGTATCTCAAGTTTCAACATTCCTTAAACCAGAGCCCAGCCACCGATCATCGAGCCAAACAGCAGGGTGGCGGCGATTCTCAAGAGGTTTGCGAAGACGATCGTCCAAATCCCGGCCGCTTCCTGATGCTTCGACACAGACAGGCCCTCGAGGACGCCGTAGATGGTAAGGACGTAGGATGCCTCCAAGGGCGCTGCCGTGAAGACGAGCCTTGGCATCGGGGAGTTCTCAAACTCTTTCCGGCTCTTGATCTCGATCATCTTGGGAATGACCAGGCCATCTCCCAAGCAGCAGAGTGTAGCACCCAAAACCAGGCTCTCCAGCAGTGTGAAATGCAAGAGGAGCTGGGCACAAGCTGCGATTCCAAGCAGCTCCAGCGTCACTGGGAGGAATGCAAAAACGAAAGTCTCTGCGCGAAGGTCACTCACTTGCAACTCGAAGCCAGCAGTGAGGAGCACTAGGAAGAAGGAAAGTGCCTGAAGATCATCTCGGCCATTGAGGACATCCGCCTGAATGAAATTCGAGAAGACGAAGCCATTGGCAATGATACCAACTGCTCCAGGCAGGCGCAGAGCCCAAAAGATCAGGCTAGACAGGTAGCCTCCCAAGAACAGGTAAGCCAAGCCAAGATGGATCGGGTATTCCAGCGCCATGAGTCAGCGGCGTATGGAATTCTAGGGCATTCCAGGGAGAAGTCTTTAGGTTAGGATTCATCCCGGAACTGCAAAAGGAAGCGGTACGTTCACCCGTCGGCTGTGTATTCTGCCTGCGCGTTGACCTTGGGGTCTTAGAACATTGGAAGTGCGTCCTAGGCGGGTCCATTTGGCCAGAAAACGACTACCAACCCGCATTGAAGAAAGCAAACAGAATTATAAAGCCTACTGTTGATGGTACTATACTATATTTGGGTCATGCAGAATTTTGTCCATCAGCCGTAGTACTTCGAATCGAGCTTCGGGGTATACAAGTAGCATTCGTTGGGGATCCAAAAAAGGATGCTGCTACCAAATACTCAGACCCCCCGCAGTTCCTGCCACATGCCTGGCCAAATAGCTACATGTCATGGAGCCATCAAGTTCCGCCAGGCCGATGTATGGGCTTGAAGATAAGGGCCTTCAGAACTAGAATAGGGCTT